ACAGAATTTTGTGCAACAAATTCATACCATTATACAGAATATAATGAACAGAATATACGGTATAATAAACCAATGATTGCACTCAACTTAACCAATACATGTAATCAGTCTTTCAATGACTTTCTTCGCGAGAAATTTCTCTTATTTTTCATTTAATTTCTTACTTTTGATTTCACTCTTGTTTTTAAAGCTAAAAAATTAATTGAATGTTGTTTCAAGATATATTATTAGTGCTAAATTATTATTGATATCCAGTTTATTTTGCAAATATTTGAGGTGTTCAATAGATTCCTATCTAAGTTAGGGCTCGTGTACTCATGTATTGGTTAAGTTGAGTGCAATCATTGGTTTATTATACCGTATATTCTGTTCATTATATTCTGTATAATGGTATGAATTTGTTGCACAAAATTCTGTACCCTATTTAGTGCATTGCTATTATGTAAATTAGGTTATTATGCTAGTATCTAATGATTTTTAAAATTTTTACATTGAGAGAGAGAGAGAGAGAGACTTGTTATACACATTAACAAACAAAACCCCTAATTGTAATAAAACCAATAATTTATTATTTTAAGTGCAAATGCATTATACATCAAATAATTTATTTAGAAAACCAGAGTTCACTATACAGTAGAAAGTGTCCGCAAATTGATTCCCAGTATTTCATTAAAACATTGTAAAAGTTATTAACAACAACAAAATCTCTTAAAAAGCAAAAGTTTTTGAGACAAAACTTGTTGGCCTTCAATACGTTTAAAATACTAAACATAGAGTAAAATACAGGTATTAATGGCTGTAGTACTAATAGTACCCATCATATCACGAGACAGGTATGAGAAAATAATTATATTATAATATAAACATATTAATGGATTTGTGTTTTGCTTGTATAATATATTTGTCATTAAACATTGAAATAAATGATAATTTAATTCCCGGCACAAAAAAGTTTGCAGAATTTGAATATTATTTTTGCAATACTATTGACTCATATATTGAGGGGATTTTTCATTTGAAAATAATTTATTTCATTCAACAAAAAAAAGTTTTTCAAAACTTTAAATAACATAATAATCGGCATAATTACAGTTTAGTGGACCTCATATAAATAGCTTGATTGTTTTTGAAATTAACCATGATAATTACAATTATAAAACTAAATTAGGGGTGCACTGCTCACCCCACCCCCCGCAGTTTAGCCTATAATTTAAACCATAACCCAATATAAGTTTATATACACTAAACCCCCTAAACGCCCCCAAAAATGTTGAACCTCTCCAAGCGATTGACCAGATTCTCCATCTTTGATACCACCCTAGTCTGCAACCTCTGACCCCTTTCCTGTAGGCCATTCACGCGATCCATAAGCCGTTTCTGGTGATCTTGAAACCTATGCCTCACGTCCTCCACCTTCTCATTAAACCTGTCGTACAGTCGCACCCCTTTGAGGGTCAGGGATGTCATCAATGATTTCAATGGGTTCACTGATTCAGTGTCTGTGCTCCCGGTGTCTGACCCGTAATCGTCGCTACCGGCGCTCTCATCTAATTATATTTTAAACAATTATTATTTTATATACAGATTTATAGATAAAGTTATAAAGATACAATATAGTTATGTACTGGTATAATAAATAATAATTTTTAAAAATGATTCATTTATTCATGCTAATATTTACTTTAGACAACAAACTGTAAATCATGTATTAACACCTATATACTGCATTTAGTATTTAAATAAATATTAAATTTTGGGCCTATGTTTATGGCGATTAATTTAACTTTTTGTAAAATTTCTAGCTAATAAATATTTAAAATTTTATATTAACTTTTTAAAAATAAATTTATTTATTCAACTGTGCACAATACTTATAAAATATCACAATGATTATATTTAACACCATGTACTATTTTTAGAATACAGAATATTCTGGCTATAATAACTAAAATAGGCATATTAATGGAGAGCACCGGTACCTTTCACCACTGGACTATCATCGCTGGCAGCCGTGTCTCGATCGCCATCAGCGACATCCTCGGTCTCGGTGGGTGTCATGGTCTCAGTCTCCTCGTCCTCCCGTTCCACTTGACCTTAGATTGTCGTAAAACATAATATTCTCAATGAATACAAAATCTTATTAATTATATATTAGTTAATATAGTTATAGAATAAAATTAGATTTATTATAATAGACTGTAAATGAAATTTAAAAATTTTAAAATAATTTAATTTTATAAAATTTTATTTAATATCTAACTTACATTTGACGGCAAATATGCCGATGGCTAGTAGTAACACAGGGTATAGAATTGTTTTCATAATTTATTTATATTATAGTATGTACTAGTAAACTTAGAAAATATAACAATGGTAAATTTTAAAATGCTTATTGAATTAGGGTTTATATAAAATTGGTTAAGAATTCTGTATTTAAAGGAGTTTTTAAAACAGGATATCAATCAGTATTTTACACCAAATTTTATGAACAAAAATACCAGAATTTCCCATTAATTATAGTGTACTTTATTTGTAAAATACTGTCCATAGGTTGTAGTTTTTAAAAACATTAAAAGTACTTAAGTTCGCAATAATAACTCAATTGTCAATCATTGTGTTATGTAATATTAATTCACAATTAATTTCAATATAAATACTTGTTTTGCATGAATATTCTGTAGACTAAACATTTTGTATTGTATATTAATAACCTATTATTATGTTTCCTATACAATAGTAGCTGTGTCATAATGTATTAATATTTTAAATAAAAAATGATAATAATTACTTTATAATATAACTATACTACAAAATAAATAGAAATTTAGACAATATAAAAAAGCTTTAGGGACATATTAATTAATAAAAATCATTTATATCAGGGTAAAATACTCAAGAATTTGTAAAAAATTTATAAAGATAATTTATCAAGGTAAAAATTATAAACATTTTAATTACAGCGTTTTGTGGGGGCCAATTTTATTTAGTTTAATATAATGTATAACACTTAATGTTAAAAATAATTATTAAGTACAGTTGTAAATAATATAGACAATTAAGTGTATAATAAATTTTTTATTTGACAAAATTAATATTTTACAAGTTTATCTATTTTTATTACATGATAATTGTATTAACTTAATTAAACATGATAGATTAATTCATAATTTAAATTTTAAAATAAAAATGTTTTCAAATGTTAGGGAATCTATCACATTTAACTGCAAGTTTGGTACTTTTTCATATGGACTTAGTTAATAATGTTTTGTACATGTTTAGCACTTAAACCTTCACTTTTATTAATATCACTGTTTGCTTAAGAATTAATCAACATGGTCCTTTTGGAGACATGACCAAAATTATCTTATTTATATAACTACTTCATATTTAATCTAGGTATTTCTTTTTCAAAATTAAAATTGCTGGAATAATTAAGGCGATTGCTGACAAATAAAATGCCTCCTTATATCTACCAGCAGTAACATGACAAACAGCTTTATCAATGAGGGATACTATAATGTTGTCGTAATTTATGGGAGAATCCATAGTAAAAGTGTTGTAAAAGTTTTCATAATTTTGCGTTTCAAGGTTACTAATATAAACTTTTTGCATAGCTGCCATACTAATAATTATTTAACATTACCTGAATAGGAGCAAATCTGTATGGCAGATTGCATCATGGAAAAATAAGATTTTACTTTATGGTTTGTCCATAGATTACGTTTTTATTTTAGTAAGGGGTCAAAAATAATATAAAGTATACAAGTTTTTGTTTGGTATATAAAATGTTCAGTAAAAGTGTATATTAAAAGGGACCAAATCTCATTCGAAATTTTTAAAAATTAGAAATTTTATTTATTTATTAATTAATTAAACTAAATTTTTTAAATTTTGCAATTAAGATTTAACATTTAATTTATTTAATTAAATAATTACAAAAATTTAGTATTAATAGCGTACAACTTTGAATTTTATTTCACATGTAATGATATTTAAAAATAATTAATCATGTTTCAAAAATTTGCAATTATTACAAAAAAACATTATGATACAATAAAATAATACTCAAAAGGTGCATGCGCGTCCGTGTTTTAATTTAATTAAATCACCATGATACAAAAATATGTTCACTATCTCAATGTGTATATATAAAACAGATCCATAAATTAGTCGAGAATATTCCCAATCATTTAGACCATTCCTCCCATTCCGCCAAACATATCGGACAGTCGTCTCAAGGGATTCATACGGGTCTCGCCATCGGCACCTCCCTGTCCATCACCAGCACCGGCACCTCCAGCGATACGACCCGGCAACTGACCCAGGCGCTCCTGTATTCTATGCATTCTGCCCTGAAATCTCTGTTGACCCTCCTGTAGCTGTTTCCCCACTTGAGTCGCCTTTTCATTCAACCGGTCGTATAGTCGCATACCTCCCAACTGGACAGACGTCATGAGTGTCTTGAAGGGGTTGTCCGCACCGGTAGCTGTCGTACCCGCGTCTGCGATGGGAATTAGAAATTATTTATTATTTGAGTTTTTGTTTAAATTATGAGAGAGAGAGAGAGAGAGAGAGTGAGTGAGAGAGAGAGAGAGAGAGAGAGAGACATTACTTTATTCGCAATTATGGTAACATTTGCTCAAGTATTGGGTATAAAATCAAAACTTTTAAAATTTAATTTAAATGTTTTTTGTATAGAAATGTGGGTTTTATATGTGTAGCGCACATGTGGTGCTAATTTTACACAAAATTAGTAAAAATAGCTTGGCAAACTAAAATGTACATATCACGAAACTATTCTAGGTTCATTATGACACTATTAAACGTACATGTTCACTATTACAGGAAACAAGTTGTACAAATTACCAGTACAGTAAAAATATAAATAATAATTAATATCTCAATAAATGGCTAAAAACTTATACATACCATCAGTAGGACTGTCATCACTGGGGGCCGACTCTGAGTCCGTGGGCTCAGTAGCCGTCGCATCGGTATCATCCGAGTCCTCCAGTTCCTGACCTTTACATACAAATAATTGGTTATATTTTTTTATAAATAAATTATTTTTGTATACAAAACTTACATTTAATGACAGTCACACCGATGAACAGTATTAACGTAATATACAGTAAACTTTTCATAATTTATTTGTAGATTAAGTAAGTTTTGCACAAAAAAGTTTAAAAAGTTATAAAACTTGAAATAAGTTTTGAAAATATAGTTTAGATATGATTATGAACTGATTGTTAAACTTATCCAGACTGCTATTTATATATGATTTTGACAAGCAACTTTTGTTTTCTATTTACGATTACATCAAGCGATGCAATCGTACGTCAGTTTTGGGCCCCATTTAGTACATCACACAAAAAGTGGATATTCTTTGCAAACTTAATTATAGTGTATATTATATAAGGTGTGTGTAAAAAGTTTTTGGTACATAAGTCCTGGTAAATGGTAAATGAGTTTTGAGTTTCAATGTTAGAGAGAGAGAGAGAGAGTGAGAGAGTACAGGTATCACTTGAGGCCANAAACTAAAATTAAAGTTAGATATGATTACTAGTTATGAATTAGTCGAGAGAGAGAGAGAGAGTGAGAGAGTACAGGTATCACTTGAGGCCATTATGTCATTGAGAGTACATTTCATACGAAACCACTCGATATGTTTTTATCACTAATACCTATAATACTATAATTTATACGAAAATGCACTGAATATTGGTGATTTATCTAAAAAGTTTCATGTTTAAAATTAGTTAAGTTTAATAGGTTTTAAAATAATTTCTATGATTGTAACCACAGTTTGCATGGAAAGCATATTTGATAAATATAGTAAAACTTTTAGTTTATTATGGATCTCTCTCTCTCTCACTCACTCACTCACTCACTCACTCACTCACTCACTCACTCACACACACACACACACTCATACACTAACTAACTAACTATTTAATTTAATAATTAAATACTATTTACTATATAATTTCATTATATAAATGCATTTACAACATACTTATTTTAATAATAATATTTATACAGTATATTATTATACATTACAATTAACTGTAAAATACAGAATTCATCATGTACCGTATATTATAAACAGACTTTTAAAATATATTTATTTAATTGACTTGATTAAATTTAATTATTTTTAGTGCATCATGAACTCATATAAAACACTATATGTTTAATTAATAATTGATAGCATTTTTTAATACAATAAAGTAAAAATAAATGTCAAGTTATTGATAACATAGCGATTCAATAGGAAAAATATAAATCAGTGCTTAAGATATGATTAATTAAATACGATTTTAATGTATTATAAGAGTAATATAACTAGAGATAACCCCCTTTAGCTATAAGTACCTGTGCTATTGTCAGGCATACTACAAAAAATTAGTCCATTTATTAGTTATTAATTAAATAGTATCTCATTAGTAGTGAAGTAATCCATACGAAAACATAGAAAATGAAAAAATTTATTTTACTCGCAATTGTGTTAACATCGGCACTATTATTGGGTAAATAAACATAACTATTTAAATTGTATTTAAATGTTTGCTGTATAAAAATCTGTGTTTTTATGTGTGTAGCGCACATGTGGTGCTAATTTTTTGTTATTGAATAACTATTTTTGCAAACAATTTGTAAAAATAGTTTTTACTAAAATAAAATGTTCTCATCAGGAAACTTATCTAGGTTCATATGACACCGGTGTAATTTTTTTCACTATTATTCAATATTACCGGATACAATTTGTACCATATTCCCGGTAATATATAGTTAATTGTGGTGCACTATTAAAATAAAATTAATGTTACTAGTTGTTATAGTGCAACATACTATATAAATAGTTTAGTACATGTAACTACCGTAGCACTATAAACATGCTTGCTAAATTAACCGGATACGTTGAGCTCGTGGGCCTAATTATATGCGCTTATTATGTCACGCGATATAATACCGTATTCCTAAAATGTGCGCTAATCTACCTGGCTCTCAATATCGGTGTCGTCCTATACGTGTCGTGCGATTTGTTTAAATTTAATGTGAATTTATTTACGACACGTAAAGTGAGGGGCGATGAGGACGAGGACCAGAAGCAGGAACAGGAGGCCCTCAAACTGGGCCGACAGAAGCTCAAGGAGATTATGGACGCCATGAAAAGCGACTACATCACCAGCTTTTGCACCCGGCTGTCCAAGGGGGTCGATGATTTAGAGGTAGGGTTGTTTATTTTTTATTTGTCTATGTATATAATTTTTTTTAAATAGTCTATTAATAGAATAAAATAAATTAACTAAATAATATTTGGTATTTATTAACTAATATATAATTTGCGCTTATTTTAAATTGCTATTAGTTCATTTAAAAAATTAATTAAATAAATTGTATATTGGTAACCTGATAATATAATTTTTATCCTGCCGACTTCGTAACCAATGAAATTAATATTAGCAATTAGAATAAGCTAGAGCAGTTTTACTCTATATATTTATTACAGTTTGCTAATTTTATTATAATATGCACAAGTTTACTTTAAGATAATATTGCCTAGTTCACTTATAAACTTTGTAGAGAACAAAAAGTTTGATTTAATTCTAAGTAATATTTGATTAGGGTTCATTCAATAAGTACGTACGCAGAACCGATATTCCCCCTCCAATGTATACGTACATTTTCGCCAACCCCATCCAATTTATTAATTTTTTATATTATTTTTTTAATTTTTCTTA